GCTAGTTGCCTACCAATATCTGTTTCCTACTTCTTTCTTGCTGACAGAATGTCTTCTTCTTTTTTTTTTTTGAGTTGGAGTCTCACTCTGTCACCCAGACTGGAGTGCAGTGGGCGCTCCCAGCCACCGCAGCCTCGACCTGCTGGGCTCCGAAGATCCTTCTGCCTCAGCCTTCCAAGTAGCTGGAACTACAGGTGTACACTACCATGCCCGGCTCATTTTGATTTATTGTAGAGATGAGGTCTCGCCAAGTTGCCCAGGCGGGTCTCGAACCCGTGGGCTCAGGCAATCTACTCACCTCAGCCTCCCAAAGGTGCGGGATTACAGGCTGAGCCACCAAGCCCAGCTGACAGAATCTCTTCTATGTGTGGGGCAGCTCTAGCAATTACCTTGTGGCCATGTAGCAAAAAATACAAGGTGGAATCACATAGAAGCTAGTGCTAACAATGCCTCTGATCCACTGAACAAGCAAGTAATGTTTCCTTCCCCAAGAGAGCAGATGTCTTATTACATGAGAAAAATGGCCTCCTGTTCGTTTAGTATGCTGTAAGTCATACTTTCTGTTACACAGAGCATTTAATAATTTTTATTTTAGATTCAGGGGTACAAGTGCATGTTTGTTACATGGGCATATTGCATTATGGTGGGGACTGGGCTTTGGGTTACCCATTCCCCAGAGAGCGCACATTATAACCAATAGGTAGCTTCTGAACCTTAGCCCCCCCCCCTTTAGAGTCCCCACCGTCTATGATGTCCATCTTTGTGGCCATTTAGCTCCTGTATATAAGTGAGAACACATGGTGTTTGTTTTTCTGTTTTACACAGAGCATTTTTAACCAACCCAGAAGGTACAGAATTTTATGTTCAGAATAACTTTCCTTTAGAATTTGAAGACTTTGCTCTGCTGCCGGCTGGCCTCAGTTATGGCTGATGCTAGACTGATTTATGCTTCTTTTTGGGTGATTTTTCAAAAACAGGAAACTTTTAAATTAATGTTCTTTTTATCTCAGATGTTTTATTTCTTAGTGCGAATAGGTGTTAGTCTTTTAAAAACCCACGCTGCTCATTGCTTGATGATCCTTTCAAGATGATGGCTGTGTCTGTCATCAGCTCTGGGAAATTCTTTGCTATTTGGTCATTTTCCCCCTTTGCTCCCCCACCTTCTCTTTCTGAAACTCCTGACAGCAGATATTGGCTCTTCTGGATAGATCCTTTGTATCTCTTGTCTTTTTTTTCACATGCTCTTTTTGTTCTAAGTTCCAGAATCCACTAACTCTTCTATTAATTTTTAACATTCCAGCAACATTTTAATGTCCAAAAATTCTTTCTTGCTTCCTGATTCTGTTTTCCCAGAGGATCATGTTCTTGTTTTATGGATGTGTTATATCCCCAAATATCTCTGAGGCATTTTCACCCCAAAGTTATCCTCTCTATCCTTAATTATCTTTCGAGTCCTTTTCCCCTCATTAATCTTAATATATATCTTTTAGATGCAATTTTCCCTCAACTATCTGGTACTTTTAGAGTAAAGACAAAAATCTTTAACACAGCCTAAAATGCCCTATGGAAACTACAATTTCAGAACCATTTCTTTTCAATTTAATTTTAGCATGGTGACATTTGCTACATACATAAGAATGTGTGAGACATACAAACATTTAAAGAAAACGAATAATTCTAACACCTTGACAATCAACCTCCAGATTAAGAAAGGGCATGTGGCCAGAGCTGCTTGTCCCTCTGCTTTTATTCTCCCCTTTCCCCACAAGGAAATCTCAATTCTGATCTCTGCTATAATAATCATTTCCTTGTTTCTCTTTGGTTTTATCATCTGCACAAGCATCCCTATACAACATAAGTGTTTAGCGTTGCCTGGTTTTGAGCTGTGTACAAGCGGCACCACAGTGTTTGCAATCATATTTCCTTTGTTCAACGCTATTTTGAAAGATTCATAAAAATTGATGTCTGTCACTGAAGTTCATCCCATTTCAATTCTGGTTGCTAATCCAGTGAATGAATATTGCAGACTTTACTTGCCCAGCCTACTGGATGTTTTTATTGTAGGGGCTGTTACCAGTTTCAGGTTATTTATTTTATTTTAGTCCTATATTCCTAGATAGTTTCAGGTTATTACAAATATTTTTGCAATGAACATTTAAAAACACACTTTCTGGCTGAGTGTTGTGGCTCATGTCTGTAATCCCAGCACTTTGGGAGGCCGAGGCAGGAGTATCACTTGAGCCCAGGAGTTTGCGACCAGCCTAGTGAGACTTTGTCTCTATAAAAAAATTAAAAAATTAGCCAGGCGTGCTGGCAGGTGCCTGTAGTCCCAGTTCCTTGGGAGGCTGAGGCAGAAGGATCTCCTGAGCCCAGGAGATGGAGGCTGCAGTGAGCCATGATAGTGCCACGGCACTCCAGCCAGGGAGATAGAGACCCTGACTCATTAAAAAAAAAGTCAGCAGATTCTTTTTAGTTTTTCATTCCTGATGTTAGTTGATTTTTTTTTCTTGATCAATTTCACCAGGGGGGTTGTCCATATTATTAGTCTTTTCAGAGAAATAATTTTGATTTTTGCTGATCCTGTTTCATTATTTTCTCCCTTGCCTTTGTTCTTGCCTTCTTTTTTTATTTTTGAGTCGGAGTCTCACTCTTGCCCAGGTTGGAGTGCAGTGGCACACTCACGGCCACGGCAACTTCGAACCTGCTGGGTTCAGGTGATCCTTCTGCTTCAATCTTTCAAGTAGAGGGAGTTACAGGCATATGCCATCATGCCCAGCTAATTTTTTGATTTATTGTAGAGATGAGGTCTCACCAAGTTGCCCAGGCTGGTCTTGAATTCCTTGCCTCAGCCTCCCAAAGCGCTATTACTATAGGCGTGAGCCACCATGCCTGGGCCATGTGGGGCTTTTGAAGTTATCTTTTTGTTACTGATCTCTGGCTTATATGTGTTGTGATCAGAGAATGTGCTATTATTTCAGGCTTTGAAATTTCTTGAGATTAACTGTTTTTGTAAGTGTTCTGTATGTCTTGGAGAGCATTCTACTGTTGCGGACAGTGTTCTATAAAAGTCCACTGTTAGGATACGGAGAGACCTGGTGAAGGTGGAAAGGTGAGGCGAGGTGCGCAGCACTGCCGGGGATGGCAAGTCGGAGGTGCGCGCTGGGAACCCAGTGATCCGAGTAAATGCAAAGAATTGAGACACACAAAAATGTTAAGAAAAAAAAGTTTATTTAGAAGTAAATTAGAGAGAGAAAGAGAAGGAAGAGTGAAGATTCACCTCCCCATGATGGAGGAGGGGGCCAAAGTCAGGAAGCATGGTGACAGCCATGGCTCAAAGAGCACATGGCCACACCAGATTCTAGCAAGGCAATGGCCCTGGTTGCTGGTGGTTGAGTTCTTTTAACCATTGCCCTAGACGGGGGAGGATCATTAAGGTGACTGGGTGGTGGTCTGCCTCCACGTCATCACGAAGGAGCAGACAAGCGCAGGTACTGATAATGTCAGGTGATGGACAGTGGGCGGATGGGTGGGTTAGTCACATGATTGCTGCCATGGTGGGGCTTCCTTGTGTCAAGTAGGTTAGCCCTGGGGAGGAGTGATTCCTGCAAGAGACTTGTTAGATATTTGCAATTCACAAATTCCTTGACCAATGGTGGGGTGGTCATTTGGGCTGTCCTGATCTTGTATCTGAAGGAGGTTTGCCTAGGTGGGATGGGATAGGCTGCTGTTTGTCCTGCAGTAGAATTTCTGAATGCTTTCTAATGGTTACACTGAGGCAAAAAGACTAAAGAATAAGCTAAGTTTCTTCTAGATTTCTATAGGTACCTTTCATCTACAAGTTAAGTGTATTAATCATGTTCAAATCTCCTATATCCGTCTTGGATATTTTTCACCTTGTCCTGCTGACTACAGAAGGATGTGTGTTAAAATCTCCTGTCTTAGTTGTGGGTTTGTCTAGCTTTTGGTTGACTTCCCTTCATGTTTCTTATATTTTTAAGGCTATAATATTTGAATACAAATCTGAAATTGTTTATTTTTCTGGTGAATTAGACCCTTTCCATTATGAAGTGACCTTATTCATCTCAGTGATGTATTTTCCCGATATTAAAATAACTGCTCCGTCTTCTTTTGGTTAGCATTTGCATGGCATTTTCCCCTGTGTGTTTACTTTTGACCTTTCAGTATCCTTATGTCTCTCGTACATTGCATCTAGCAATTTATGCAGTCTTACTGTCTTTGTATTTTAGCTACAACATTTAGCCCACTTGCATTTACTGAATGATAGAACATTTAAAATTACACCTATCATCTGTTTGTCCCACCTGTCTTGTATGTATTTTTCTCTCCATTCTTGACTAGTTTAGAATTGTTTTGGTTCATTTTCCCATTCTATTTCCCCCTCTAATAATTTGGATAAATATACACTGTATTTCTATTCCTATCGTGTTTATCTCAGTAATGACAACTTGGATTCTTAACACATCAAATTCTTTGATCTTTATCTTCACTTTCCTCCTGAAGAATGTAAGAATCTTAGAACACTTAACTCCACCTGCAAGTTACATGCCATCTCTGTTGTCTGTTTTAATTCTATTTTTATCCAGAAGACATTGCTATTGTTTTATCCTATCAATGTTCTTCATTGTTCTTATTCTCTATTGCATCAGATCTCTGTCTGGAATCACCTTCTCCCTGCACGAAATTCCTCCTTTAGAATTTCCCTTAGGGAGGGTCTGCTAGTGACACATTTATGGCTTTTGTATTTGTAAATGCCAAGACTTCATCCTCGTTCTGGATATATATAATATGTACCTCATACCCTCAAAGGTAGGATGAAGGTTGTTTTCTCTTTGGCTTCCGTTGCTCTTGAAAAAGTCCAGTTTGAATCTATTATTCTCTTTTTCTGTGTGCCAGAGGAGGCGTCTGTATTTTATTCTGAGCGGACTAGGGAGCGATGGAAGGGTTTTAAGCACAGGGAGACCCAGTCAGATCTGGCGCACATGGACACTGTGGGCACAGGTCGGAAGGGATGGCAGCTCCGGGGGAAGGTGGTCCAGAGAAGAGAGGGGATAACCCCGGTGCGCGGGTGTGGAGCCGGGGGAGGGGGCAGCACCCGAGTCCCCTCGAGGTCAGAGCGCTGGCACCTGGGATTCACGCCTGAAGGGGCAAGGACGACTCCGGGCTCCTGGCGAGGAATGGAGGCGCTGCAGCGAAAACGGAAGGTTGTTGCGCTGGGTGGGGGGTAACGAGTTCGTCTCGGACCTCGGGATCCATTCATTTCACAGACAGCCGAGCGCCTCCACGTGCCGGGGACCGCCTGGGACGGCGCCGCAGCAAGCAGGGCCCCGCGGGCCCCTTGGCTGCACCAGCCGCGAGTTGCCGCCGCGGAGCCCCCGAGGCAGGGCCCGTCCGACCCGACCCGCGCCTGGGC